CTAGAAACGTCTGGAGTCGTTTATCGGATCTGGTGCAGTTGCGGACAAAGCAACTACGTCGAAGAAACCGGAAGACAGCTCCGAGCGCAAATGGCCAAACACGCTGCAGCGGTGCGAAGAAATGACGTCAGCTCTCAAGTTGCGACTCATTCGATGAAATCCGGCCACACATTCAAATTTGACGAGGCCGAAATTGTCGCAAGAGGTGGCAACCGCGTGAGCCTGGAGCTGCTTGAGTCATGGATTACTGGCCCCCAGTCCATCAACACCTGCAACGATTTTCCCATTCCACACTCCGTACTGAAACTTCGCCTAGGCGGAGTAACAAGCCATGCGGGGAGCGCAGAGGTGAACACTTTTCCCAACACCGGGGTCGGTGCGTCAGATGGTCGAGCAATTATCACGCCAACATTCAACGCACGTGATGAAATTGCAGCAATTATCGACTCGAATGTCGGCCATCAAGCAATGATCACACCAAGTGCGACAATCTCGGATGAAGGGAGGAGCCGTGAATGTTCATAGGTATGCGGTAGCATGGCTACTGCATCCTATAAATACTGCAGCCCCTTGTGCAACAACCACCCGTTTCTGCTTTTTTGTCTCCGATGATGGATTCGAGTAGGAATCCGCAATGTCAGGCTAATATAGCTCTTCTCCCGGCGATCGTGTCTCCTTCTTCAAGACTGCTTCCTGGGACTCGTCTCTTCGCTTCTTTTGACGGTGACTTGTGCCTGAATCAGTCTATAGTGATAGTAGACTTTCAGAGCATCTACCACACCCTCACCTCCTCCCCCACCTGGGCCCGGTGTCAGGACGGAGTCAAGAAGACCGGAGACGTGAGAAGGCGCAGGTGAACAACACACACACACACACACACACACCAATTGGACACAAGGACGCCACTGCCTCGCCCTCTCTCCCTCAGGCATGACCTAACACCGTCAGCATACGCCTTGAGACTACCAGTGACCACTGCCGTCCGAGAGCGAAACTTGGGGTACCGTGCACAACCAAACATCCATTCTGGTCTGTTCGGTCTTCTCCCGCTAATCGGGACTTGACTTTGCTATCGGGGCACTCTGGGCATACTCACTACCTAGAAGCCACAGTGCCTTTGATCAAACTCCAGCCGTGCGGAGTCACATACGCAAGCAACATTTGCCCTTGAATGCATGAGAAATAACGAAAACTTACGCATGCAGATTAATTAGTTTTCTGAATCTGTCATCACCAGGGGGAGGGATTGTCATGGAAATAAGACCACCCAAAGTTCTCAAACTGTTAAAAATACCAGAGGAAGGCTTGCACTGAACCCACAGTCGGACTTTCCGCGCACATTTGCACGCACGTGCCGTTGGCATTCTGATGTTCGACCAATCACAGCCATCCAAGCCGGCCAATCAACTTCAAGGAGGCCGACTAACACTAGCGCAGCGCTGAAGATCATCAACGGAGCACAGTGCTGGTAAATGTCGATGTGTGGGCCAGAGTTATGGGAATACGTCTGAGAAATTATCAAAAAAGTGCGTAGGTTCTGGGTTTTGTCTTCTGAACTGTTCAGTGGTAATTTTCGCAGCGCCAGGCGATTCAGAGCTCCCACGCTATTAGGAGGTGTTAAATCAGCGCTTGTGGAGGGGCAAGGAGAGTATGTGAGAAATTACCGTGGGTATAACTATGATCACCAGCTTTTTGAGTCAGGAATATGACGTCCTTGCAGAACTATGACAACCCGATCAATCCTCATAATTAAACTCACTCATACAGCTCCTTCGAGTAAACGACAGTCTTGTGGAGGTCAAATTGATTCTGGAATGCATGAGAAGTTGTCACGGATGTACTTACGACCACTGGGAATGTGTTCCACAAACCTGTTAGTGGGAATTCTCCCAGAAGTACTACGATCATTAAGGGCATTAAGGGTGCCCAAACAGCTCCTCCAACTGAACAACATTATTTCAACCGTGACTGATTTCGTCACACTTCTAAAGAATGATTGTGAATCTGCCGATATCCTAGCGAGGGTTGTAAAATTGCATTCAGCATGTTTTCTAGAACCTTCAGCATATCTTCAATTATGCGTATTTTGTGACAGTTTGTCATAGGATTTTGCTAGGTGGCGATTTTGTGGAAGCATGCAGTCCACAAATTCCCCTTGCTAATGGGGCTTTAGTATTAGGAGGTGAAAACGTCAGATGGAACTGTCCCGGGCTCAGCGGCAATAAATGTCTTCAGTATTTAATGTACCTTATTGTATAAGTGTTCTGTGTTGGGCTGAGGGTCAGGTATGGCGACTGCCTCCTAGTATAGTTTTCATGTCACTCCCACTGAATTGAGGTCATAGCCGCCCTTCATGGAGGTCTGGGAAACTTTTGGACACCGGGTAGTGTGTAGTCCGCGTAGACGGGTTGTTTAACTTTGCGGTATACCACGTACGAGCTTAGATTTGGTCGTCTTGACACTGTCTTGTCGTCGTATCCTGGCGGGTGATGGGAGAGAGAGAGAGTGTGGTAGTCCTCCACATCAGGTTGCCGTGAATTCGGACTTTTACTTAAGATATATACAAAGGAACAGAAAAGAGGGAGGGCCCTTTGGGTTGATTTTTTGACGAGGGTTTTATTTTGTATCAATAACAGACGATGGATTCTAGAAGACCGCAAAGAGACTGATTCCGTGCTGTTGTTCAGCATGTCTCCTTTATAAACGAGACACGTTTTTACATACCTGGGTTCCGCATCCTTTCGCAGAAGTATTTGACGAACCTAACGCTCGATCCTGACCAAAAAGCACTATATGTCTACCAGATACACAAATACTGTGAGTCAGAATGCTCTGACCAATAGGAATGCGAAGGTGTTTTGGAGATTCCATAAAACGATGCACACACAGCTGCCTTGAAACCCAAGAGAAGATGAACATTCGTCATCAGAAGAACAGCAAGGGTTACATCAGGCTTACGTGTCCGTGCTATAGGCCTAAAGGACTGTCGACGCCCACATTCAGTAGGTGCGCTAACTCAGAAAATGTTAACTGAAATTCCGAAATGCATTTTCGTTTCGAAAAGAATCATTAAGTAGGGTTGAAAAACTAATCGCTCGGCAGCATTCAGTTATCTCAGGATTCCGACTTTCGAACGAACTGGGCCTCGGATGAGAACTCGGTCAGTCGATTTATCGATCTGGCGCCGGCGTACAGAGTCCTGCGTAGTCACCTCCAATCTTTCGCCGTCGCTCGATGATTGGACTACATGCCTTAAAACTGTCGCTTGTTCTGTTGCTGCTACTGCCTCTGACGCTAGATTCCTTTACGAGTCTGACAGCTCAGAACACTAAACAAAGTGTTCCGGTGCTCGGCTCTTCCTCCTTACTTATGCATACACCCGGAGCTCCAAATTTCGCCTTCATTCGTGAACGGACTTCTTTCCGGCTGCACGCAAAATCGCACTTTGGAAAAATTGACTACTTAAGTAGTATGCATGTTTATCCTTGATTTTCGATGCCCTTAAAAATTGAATTATATTTCACAGAAAACGCGCCCGAAAATACTCAATATTTTGCTCATTCGGTAAAAAGTTACGCCTTCTTCCAAATGCTGAATTTGACCTGCCGTTACATTTGCATTCAGGCTTTCCAAACTACGGGCTGTATATTTTCCGTTTGCGAAAAATCGTACATTTCTATACTCTGCCAAGAGGAGACTATACGGGGTTCATAAAATTTAGCAGTAAATTTGACCGATATTGTAAACTTTAGGAGCAACATTAGTAAATGCAGAGACACGATAGTTAATGAACGGGTATTTCACGGTATAAAAAATCTGACGATTGGAAACTCTTTTAAAACCATATTATGCCCTTCCTTCGAGTATAAAGTCAACCAGAAACGCCATTTTCTGCCGAGAGAGCAGGCGGATGAATAGTGTTATGCATTTTTTCCATGAAATATAATTGAATTTTTAAGAGCATCGAAAATCAAGGAGAAAAATGCATACCACATAAGTAGTCATCTGTAACAAAGTGTGCTTCCTGCATGTGGATGGAAAGATGTTCGTTCGAAAGCCGACATCCTGCAGTAACTACATGATTATAGAATTATGCTGCAGGCTGATTCATTTTACAACCCTACTTAATTAATCTTTTTCAGACTAAAACGCAGTGCGGAATTTCGGTTGACCTTTCATGAATTAGCCCACCTACTTTAATTGTTCGAAAGACAAAACCCTGGACAAAGGTCAGCTCACCCTGTTGGCCCTCGTCTCGCCATTAATGTCTGCGCGTCAGCTGATTACTACTTCGACGTAATTTCGTACTGTGTTTCCGTCGACATCACTAGTTGTCTTGTCATCACACAAGAGCGTATGCACACATCTGCAACGGCCTCCCCTCTGCTCAAATAATGCGAAAACAAACCCATAACCCCGCTGCTGATTCTATCCCCACCTCTCTAGAAGTTCCGTACCTGCTAACTGCTGGCTTCTGCCCCAAAAAGACCGGTGGTCCGCCGCTAGAACCAAAACGAAAGAAGCGCAGAAGGAAGTATTCAGGTTGTCTGGATAGGTGAACAACAGAAAACCGGATTGAGGTAATTCACTTACGAATGTGCGCGTCAATGCTGCCAGGAAACAAACCTGAGCATCGGCGGCTCATGAGCTGTTGGCATCGCGTGGTGCACAGTTGCATACACCGTGACTCGTCTGTGGATCGATCACCCGTACAGGCGCCGGCAGCCGCCTGATTGGTCAATTCGAGCTTTTCCGCGCAGTCAGGGGGCGGGGGGGGGGGCTGAGCTGACCCACATGGGTTCGCCAGTGCGTCGGGGATGCACGTGAGCACTCAGCAGGCCACAAGAGCATCCAGTAATTGGCTCAGCTTAATCACCGCCCTCGCATGACTTCACAAGTTTAGACGCAGGATGACGCTCGTTTGTCACTAGTGCGAAAGCTTGACGGTGAACGGTTACCAGAGTCTTCTCTTGGTCTCCTCCAGCATTTTCATCCCAGTAATGTCCCTTGCCGTGGAAGAGACCGATGCCGAGGGTCGGACCATTTTCTTTAAAAGTCCAGCAGACATTTCAAAGGCTGTGACCTACGACCACTACGATGTCTGTACGCAGGAACGTGTTAATGAACTGTTTGAACAGAAGAAGACGCCCTCACCGAAGTTCTGCGGATTTGTCTACTGCTATGCCCCCTTCCTAACCATCTGCTCCTCTAGTTCCAATGGAAAGCTCAAGGTGAAACAGAGAATCGACTACAAGTCAATCCGAGAGGTCTATCCCTGCGAGTTAGACAGCAACGTCCTCTTCATTGTGACACGCCGTGAAAGAGGCAAAACTCACCTGCGAGTCCTCAGACTGCCATCGGACTCAAAGGCCACCAAGCTGCGTTACACCATTGATCAGCTGCAGCTAACTCCCCTGTACACTCGCGAAAAGACTGAAAAGGGCAACCGCAAGAGCAACAGCACCGCGGCTTCCGGATATTCGAGTCTGGGCACCGAGGCTGACTCGAGGAATTACTCCACCCCAATGGTCAGTCGGCGAACCACACGAACTGCCCAGAGTAGGGCCTTCGACACCGTTACAAATTACTACCAATCTGAGGGCCAGTTTCATTTGCCCCGGGTTCGGCAATATTCACCGCGCAGTCTGTCAAAACCAGGTCCAATGTCGCGGACCACTCAGACTGTGAGTCGTCCCCTTGACTATGAGACCGACTTTGACGACATTCAAATCTACCGACCGGAGAGCCGAGCGCCTCTTTATGACGTTTACAGTAAGGACAGCGGCGGAGGCCAGAGCAGTCGGCAACGTACTAAGTCTCGGATGCAGCGTCGTCGCTTGGACACTAGCAGTTCAAGCTCGGACTGGCAGGAAAATGAAGATGAGGACAGTGGCTTCTACGCGGCTTCGCCTTGCCGCCGAGACAGCGGTTACTCGAGAGTGTCTCGATTGCAACAGAATCGTAATACGTACCAGAGGACAATCTCCGTCCCACCCAGGAGGTATCGGGTCTCGTCGGACTAAGATACCCAAGTGTGTACAAAGACGAACAATTAACTGCCTCCCCCACCCCCCTGCTCCCGCATTACCTGTCAGAAAACGTGATGTCTCAGATATTCAAACTTATTAACTGCCTGCCTTTCTATTGTTCACGTGAAACGTTAAACGTTGTACTTAAGGCTAGTGACGGTAGCTTAAAATTTAACGCCCGCTTCTTCGGCCTTTTCGTACTAATATTACTCAACTTCTTGAATATTACAGTAGCCTAGCGAACTGTAGATGTGATGACAACATTTACTTTGAAGTGCAATACTTCGAGGCACAGAAATAACCGAGACACAAGAATAATAATGGTCACGGTTTTCAATCTAATAAAGAAAATGAAACCATTAGAAGTCGTAATTTCTAAACATTCAGAAGTTGGCTGAATGCGAGAGAATGCCCTGACAATATAGTACTTCGCGCAGCTGGGAAAAGTTCATTTCTTTCGTTTATAATATGTCGGGGCATAGTTTACCGTGGGCGAGTTACAGAGTACGGTCGTTAGCCTGTAAGTATGTAAGGAAGAGGCTTTTCGCCACTGGCAAGTACACAGGGGAGTTTAATGATTTTGGAAGATGTTTCAAGTCTGTTCGGCAAAAGTCATATACAGCAGGTGATCTAAGTGATGGAAGATGTCAAAATCTACGAATAATTGTTAATCAGTCGCAAACCGACATCAATGCGTGGATTCAATATCTATGTTAATAATTAACAATTTTAAGGGAATTGAAAACTTAAAAGAAATATTGAAGGACAGGTTACGTTGTTTAGAAATTACAGCTATTTAGAAAAGCAAAAAATTCCGAATACGTCAAAAATGATTGTAATTGTGCAAACTTTAGGTTTCAACGTACAGAATGCCTGCTCACACAAAAATCGGAGTGAATATGACAGCACGAATAGTATAACGTGCAAAAAGTGTTTTGGTGAAGTTTACATTTAAATATCCATTAAGAATTAGTGTACTTTCAGGCATGGCGGTTTGTTAACAGTCCACATTTTGAGTATCGATTCTAAGTCGGTTTCCTGAGGATTCGTGGTATTTTTGCGCTTTTGAATTAACTGAGATGCGATCCAATAAGGAAAACAAGATTTTGCCTAATTCCGCCGAAAGGGTTGTCATATGGTACCTGTTGACAGACTGGTCAGTGACTAACAAAGTTGGATAAAATTGACAAGGATAGTCGTAACAACACCACTTTGTGCATATAAAGAGGACTTTTCCTCCGTGAAACTAATTTGCACTTTTCGTTTGTTCTGGATTACGTAGAGTTTCAGATCGGCCTTAAAGTATCGTTGAATACTTCATAATTTTCAGTGTTTTTATTTGATTGCCATAAAGACGGATTCTCCATTGTGTGTTGGCTAAAACCTTTAAACAGAATACTTCTTGAAGGCATTTGCCGCAGTAGCGAGTGTTAATGGCGCCGTTTTTCATGCAGGTCGTTTGGGTCATATATGAAGACTCACACAAACATGAAACCTCATCGTCGAATAAAGTGAGCGTCCAAAACAGAAGTAAACAATGAATATGCTTTTGATTGACTAGTAAACATTCTCTAGTAAGTTTCCTGTATGAGGAGGGCTTTAATACTGAATTTCGTTGACGGATATCCGTGCACTTTACTTTTATACACGGTAAAGCCAAGAAAAAAACTGACATTTTTTTACGGCAAACGCAATAATCTGCCTTTCCCCTTATATTATGTCCATTTCTACTATTACTGCTCACTTTTGGCTTCCGCTCTACGATAATCAATGCTCTGCGGAGTGACCACATAAATACTGACATTTTTCTGAAACTGCCAATGTTTTGCTCGTTATACTTATAAATTACGCATGTGAGGAAGCTAGACCGCACGAAATATAGTGTTCAATATATCCAAAGCTAAAAATGAATATTCGATGGTAGTCACCTCTGACAGCATATGCAATTTTGGCCCATTTAAACGAAGAACTGCCTGTGTGCGTTATTAATGCACTTAGGGACACCACGTCGTACAGACTTGCTAGACTGACTTAAAAATCGAGAAGTCGTCTGATTTTCTAAAAATTATTCGCGTGTTAACGAGATGGTTCCCATGGTTAACATCAGTGTTTCATCAGCGGTAGCCGGCAAAAATGAGTGTTCAGAATACCTGTATTCAAGGAGGTGAATATACATATATATATAGTGGTAGGGGGCGCTCACCGATCGTTCATACGGAACTCACTCGTTCCGTTGTGCCTTAAGAGCTCTCTCTCGAGCCCAACCAGCAGCACCGGGCTCGTGGCCCGGTGAGTAGAGGCGTTGACTTCTAAACCAACAGGTCGCGAGTTCGAGGCTCGGGTGTTCCACACTTCGGGCTTGGGTGTGGCTGGCTGACGACGGCTAATAAGCCAGAAATGGCCATTCCAGTCTCCCTTGTCTTTGTCGGTAATGTTATTCTGCCTACATATATATATATATATATATATTCAATTCGTACCCGGGATAAAGTGCTTCAGAGCTCTCAAACAGCACTTCCCTTCGGGTATAATTAAGTCTCTGGACAGACTTCTACGATTACTTGAAACAGTAGTTCCCCGGAATGAATTTAAAGCAAGCAAGGACAGCAGGATTTAATGGTACCAGAAAATTTCGCGACGGCTTCTCAACTGCAGCCTGTCGTTGCATAACACAAATAACAAGGGAGAAGGTACAGAAGTTTGAATTTCGACAGAGAACATCAATATAAGACAGCAAGGTCAACGTATACTGCGCGTAGACTAATCATAAAAAGGATAACCTCAAAATGCAACAGAGGAATGAAAGTGAGGAAGTAAACATGCTGATGGATTTTGAAAATCAAAAGGGCTCAGGTCTACCAGGGCAAGCTGAGGTTGACCACGTGGTCTAACTGTTTACATAGGTCGGGTTTCTCCCGCCGTATATAGGCTGCCTCCAGGTAGCGCAATAACCGAGTAGTTCGTGCTCGAACTAATACTCGAAAAGACGTTTTGGGGTCAACCGAATGGCCACTATCAAGGAGATGTTTTGTAATAGAAGGCCGTGGTCAACCTCAGCTTGCCCTGGTAGACCTGAGGCCTTTTGATTTTCAAAATCCATCAGCATGTTTACTTCTCCACTTTCATTCCTTTGTTGCATTTTGAAGTTATCATTTTATTGATTAGTTTACGCGCAGTATACGATGACCTTGCTGTTTTACAATGATTTTCTCTGTCGAAATTCAAACTTCTGTACCTTCTCCCTTGTTATTTGTGTTATGCAACGACAGGCTGCAGTTGAGAAGCCGTCGCGAAATTTTCTGGTACCATTAAATCCTGCTGTCCTTGCTTGCTTTAAATTCTACGATTACGATGCAGAATAACGAAAGAAAACACACGGATTGAATTTCTTTAGAATTACGTAAGCAGTAAGACGTACCCAGTGGAGTTCTACAAGATCCTCCGTCGGGGGAAATTATGTCCTACCATGAATAATCTGGACCATCTTGCACAATCAAAACTTGAGGACTGTCGACATAAACAAATCTTGTTTGGATCAAACAAAACATATTCTTGACAAAACAAGTTTCTTCTGATGGTTAATGTACATGAAACATGCATGTATCATACAAAGGAGGACAAGAGACTCATAACGTTTTAAACTAAGGAAGTCATTGTGCAAAAAGTCTATGAACGATTATTTTCCTCCGCTTACAGATGAAACTATGCTTAATCTGTCTGACATCAAACCTAATAAGCTACAATCAGAGGCTTTATCACTAGGACTTGACTTTTTCATTCCGAAAAGGTGATTAAACTCAGTTGAAATTGAGGCTCAGTTTGAAGACTTCAGTTCTCAACTGTCTCACATAGTACCCTGATCCACTGACGATGTGGGCTGGCTGAAAGCAAAATTTGTGGACACTGCTAATCAGTACCGTAAAGCCCTTGTAACACAATGGAATCCCTTAGCCAATGAACACATAGCTGCCCTATCCGCATTGAAACGTCATGAATAAATAATAATTTCTAAGCCTGTCAAAGGCCATGGAGTTTTTATTCTTAACTGGAAGGACTATGTGAGGAAAATGAAGTGCATCTTAGATGATCAGAGCAAATTTCCTCTAGAAGCGTTTGGGATTGACGAAACCAAGACACTGGAAGACTCAGTCTGGAAAAACGTTCAACAGTTGCTGGACAAAAACCTGATTGATTCTAAAGCCGCACTATTCATGAAACCGAGAGGCACACATATTCCCAGACTATGTGTTCTACCAAAAACGCATAAAAAGGACACACCTTTACGGTCTATTCTTTCTATGTCTTATTCACCTACACACAGACTAGCAAAATGGCTTGTCAAGGAGCTAGAACCAATTCGACAATTGTTTTCCACCTACACGATAAAAGACAGTCTTCATTTCATTAAAGAAATTAAGGACCTGAACATCGCCGACAAGTGTATGATCTCTTTAGACGTGGAATCCTTATTTACCAATGTACTATTGGTTGAAACTATGGATGTTATATGCGCCCATGCGTCCAAAACCCGACTCTCCCCCGAACTACTACGAGATCTGCTGGTACTTTGCACCAAAGATGTTCAATTTCTGTTTAATGGGGAACTTTACAGACAAATTGACGGAGTCGCAATGGGTAGTCCACTCGGGCCAACCCTCGCCGATGTTTTTATGGGTTACATAGAAGAAAAGATGTCATCAGAATTAAACATGACAAAATTATACAGGAGATACGTGGATGATATATTCACGATTGTTGACAACAAGGAAGAAGCCTCCGACCTACTTTGCCTGATGAATAATCTGCATCCTAAAATCAAATTTACGATGGAAATGGAGCAGTTTAACAAGTTACCCTTCCTGGACGTCCTCATGTTTAAAGAGGAGGATGTTTCAATAAGACGCTCTCTCATCCACAAGATTACGTGGAAAGGGCAATACTTATATTTTAAAAACTTTGCGCCAATACTATGGAAAATAAATCTGGTACATACT